ATTTTGGGGTCTTTTTCCTAAGGGTTCAATGGTAAAAAATACCAAAAACTCAAAGCCATTGAGTTATTATTAATGGAGTTACGATTTTTAAAAATAATGATGTTTTGTAAAGTAAGACTTTACAAACAATTTTTTCACTCAAAAACTAAAGTGAGTAGAAAGTTGAAATTTTGGGGTCTTTTTCCTAAGGGTTCAATGTAAAAAATACCAAAAACTCAAAGCCATTGAGTATTATTAATGGAGTTACGATTTTTTAAAAATAATGATGTTTTGTAAAGTAAGACTTTACAAACAATTTTTTCACTCAAAAACTAAAGTGAGTAGAAAGTTGAAATTTTGGTGGTCTTTTCCTAAGGGTTCAATCTAAAAAATACCAAAAACTCAAAGCCATTGAGTTATTATTAATGGAGTTACGATTTTTTGAAAATAATGATGTTTTGTAAAGTAAGACTTTACAAACAATTTTTTTACTCAAAAACTAAGGGGAGTGGAAGTTGAAATTTTGGGGTCTTTTTCCTAAGGGCTCAATGTAAAAAATACCAAAAACTCAAAGCCATTGAGTATTATTAATGGAGTTACGATTTTTTAAAAATAATGATGTTTTGTAAAGTAAGACTTTACAAACAATTTTTTCACTCAAAAACTAAAGTGAGTAGAAAGTTGAAATTTTGGGGTCTTTATCCTAAGGGTTCAATCTAAAAAATACCAAAAACTCAAAGCCATTGAGTTATATATTAATGGAGTTACGATTTTTTGAAAATAATGATGTTTTGTAAAGTAAGACTTTACAAACAATTTTTTCACTCAAAAACTAAAGTGAGTAGAAAGTTGAAAATTTTGGGGTCTTTTTCCTAAGGGTTCAATGTAAAAAATACCAAAAACTCAAGCCATTGAGTTATTATTAATGGAGTTACGATTTTTTAAAAATAATGATGTTTTGTAAAGTAAGACTTTACAAACAATTTTTTCACTCAAAAACTAAAGTGAGTAGAAAGTTGAAATTTTGGGGTCTTTTTCCTAAGGGTTCAATGTAAAAAAATACCAAAAACTCAAAGCCATTGAGTTATTATTAATGGAGTTACGATTTTTTAAAAATAATGATGTTTTGTAAAGTAAGACTTTACAAACAATTTTTTCACTCAAAAACTAAAGTGAGTAGAAAGTTGAAATTTTGGGTCTTTTTCCTAAGGGTTCAATCTAAAAAATACCAAAAACTCAAAGCCATTGAGTTATTATTAATGGAGTTACGATTTTTTGAAAATAATGATGTTTTGTAAAGTAAGACTTTACAAACAATTTTTTACTCAAAAACTAAGGGGAGTGGAAAGTTGAATTTTGGGGTCTTTTTCCTAAGGGCTCAATGTAAAAAATACCAAAAACTCAAAGCCATTGAGTTATTATTAATGGAGTTACGATTTTTTAAAATAATGATGTTTTGTAAAGTAAGACTTTACAAACAATTTTTTCACTCAAAAACTAAAGTGAGTAGAAAGTTGAAATTTTTGGGGTCTTTTTTCCTAAGGGTTCAATGTAAAAAATACCAAAAAACTCAAAGCCATTGAGTTATTATTAATGGAGTTACGATTTTTTAAAATAATGATGTTTTGTAAAGTAAGACTTTACAAACAATTTTTTCACTCAAAAACTAAAGTGAGTAGAAAGTTGAAATTTTGGGGTCTTTTTCCTAAGGGTTCAATGTAAAAAATACCAAAAACTCAAAGCCATTGAGTTATTATAATGGAGTTACGATTTTTTAAAAATAATGATGTTTTGTAAAGTAAGACTTTACAAACAATTTTTTCACTCAAAAACTAAAGTGAGTAGAAAGTTGAAATTTTGGGGTCTTTTTCCTAAGGGTTCAATGTAAAAAATACCAAAAACTCAAAGCCATTGAGTTATTATTAATGGAGTTACGATTTTTTAAAATAATGATGTTTTGTAAAGTAAGACTTTTACAAACAATTTTTTCACTCAAAAACTAAAGTGAGTAGAAAGTTGAAATTTTGGGGTCTTTTTCCTAGGGTTCAATGTAAAAAATACCAAAAACTCAAAGCCATTGAGTTATTATTAATGGAGTTACGATTTTTTTAAAAATAATGATGTTTTGTAAAGTAAGACTTTACAAACAATTTTTTCACTCAAAAACTAAAGTGAGTAGAAAGTTGAAATTTTGGGGTCTTTTTCCTAAGGGTTCAATGTAAAAAATACCAAAAACTCAAAGCCATTGAGTTATTATTAATGGAGTTACGATTTTTTAAAAATAATGATGTTTTGTAAAGTAAGACTTTACAACAATTTTTTTCACTCAAAAACTAAAGTGAGTAGAAAGTTTGAAATTTTGGGGTCTTTTTCCTAAGGGTTCATCTAAAAAATACCAAAAACTCAAAGCCATTGAGTTATTATTAATGGAGTTACGATTTTTTGAAAATAATGATGTTTTGTAAAGTAAGACATTACAAACAATTTTTTTACTCAAAAACTAAGGGGAGTGGAAAGTTGAAATTTTGGGGGTCTTTTTCCTAAGGGCTCAATGTAAAAAAATACCAAAAACTCAAAGCCATTGAGTTAATATTAATGGAGTTACGATTTTTTAAAAATAATGATGTTTTGTAAAGTAAGACTTTACAAACAATTTTTTCACTCAAAAACTAAAGTGAGTAGAAAGTTGAAAATTTTGGGGTCTTTTTCCTAAGGGTTCAATCTAAAAAATACAAAAACTCAAAGCCATTGAGTTATTATTAATGGAGTTACGATTTTTTGAAAATAATGATGTTTTGTAAAGTAAGACTTTACAAACAATTTTTTTACTCAAAAACTAAGGGGAGTGGAAAGTTGAAATTTTGGGGTCTTTTTCCTAAGGGCTCAATGTAAAAAATACCAAAAAACTCAAAGCCATTGAGTTATTATTAATGGAGTTACGATTTTTTAAAAATAATGATGTTTTGTAAAGTAAGACTTTACAAACAATTTTTCACTCAAAAACTAAAGTGAGTAGAAAGTTGAAATTTGGGGTCTTTTTCCTAAGGGCTCAATGTAAAAAATACCAAAAATTCAAAGCCATTGAGTTATTATTAATGGAGTTACGATTTTTTGAAAATAATGATGTTTTGTAAAGTAAGACTTTACAAACAATTTTTTCACTCAAAAACTAAAGTGAGTAGAAAGTTGAAATTTTGGGGTCTTTTTCCTAAGGGTTCAATGTAAAAAATTACCAAAAACTCAAAGCCATTGAGTTATTATTAATGGAGTTACGATTTTTTAAAAATAATGATGTTTTGTAAAGTAAGACTTTACAAACAATTTTTTCACTCAAAAACTAAAGTGAGTAGAAAGTTGAAATTTTGGGGTCTTTTTCCTAAGGGTTCAATGTAAAAAATACCAAAAACTCAAAGCCATTGAGTTATTATTAATGGAGTTACGATTTTTTAAAAATAATGATGTTTTGTAAAGTAAGACTTTACAAACAATTTTTTCACTCAAAAACTAAAGTGAGTGGAAAGTTGAAATTTTGGGGTCTTTTTCCTAAGGGCTCAATGTAAAAAATACCAAAAACTCAAAGCCATTGAGTTATTATTAATGGAGTTACGATTTTTTAAAAATAATGATGTTTTGTAAAGTAAGACTTTACAAACAATTTTTTCACTCAAAAACTAAAGTGAGTAGAAAGTTGAAATTTTGGGGTCTTTTTCCTAAGGGTTCGATCTAAAAAATACCAAAAACTCAAAGCCATTGAGTTATTATTAATGGAGTTTACGATTTTTTGAAAATAATGATGTTTTGTAAAGTAAGACTTTACAAACAATTTTTTTACTCAAAAACTAAGGGGAGTGGAAAGTTGAAATTTTGGGGTCTTTTTCCTAAGGGCTCAATGTAAAAAATACCAAAAACTCAAAGCCATTGAGTTATTATTAATGGAGTTACGATTTTTTAAAAATAATGATGTTTTGTAAAGTAAGACTTTACAAACAATTTTTTCACTCAAAAACTAAAGTGAGTAGAAAGTTGAAATTTTGGGGTCTTTTTCCTAAGGGTTCAATGTAAAAAATACCAAAAATTCAAAGCCATTGAGTTATTATTAATGGAGTTACGATTTTTTGAAAATAATGATGTTTTGTAAAGTAAGACTTTACAAACAATTTTTTCACTCAAAAACTAAAGTGAGTAGAAAGTTGAAATTTTGGGGTCTTTTTCCTAAGGGTTCAATGTAAAAAATACCAAAAACTCAAAGCCATTGAGTTATTATTAATGGAGTTACGATTTTTTAAAAATAATGATGTTTTGTAAAGTAAGACTTTACAAACAATTTTTTCACTCAAAAACTAAAGTGAGTAGAAAGTTGAAATTTTGGGGTCTTTTTCC